CTTTGGTTTTTCATGTGATAGTTAAGATTGTGTGTCAATCTGGCTGGACCACGATTCTCACTGGTTTAGCAGTTATGATACAGTCATCCCCTATGATGAGATCTGATATAATGTAATCACCTCCATGACACTATGAGCAGTCAATCATTTGAAAGGTAGTTTCCTCAGAGGTGTGGCCTGTTTCCTATATATATCTATACACACACACACACACATATATATGGAAAATGCTCTGGCCTTCTGCTGGATCTTGATCATGCATCTAGTTGATCATCATGTCTGGTTCCTGGACTTGAACCAGTGGTCTGCCCTACTGCTTGCCAATCTTGAATTGCTGCTTTCACAGCCTGTGAGCCACTCTCTGAAGCCAGTAGCCTCCTATACTGCCTACTGAAGTTCAGCAGCCCCTGTACCTGCATGAATCAGCCGGGGCTCCAGCTTGGCATTTGACCCACAGACTTAGGACTTCCCAGCCTCTGCAACTGCATGAGCCATTTCCTTGAAATAAAGTTCTCTCTCTCTCTCTCTCATTCTTTCTCTCTCTCTCTCTCCGTGTGTGTGTGTTTGTGTGTGTGTGTGTGTGTTTCACTGGTTTTGCTTTTCTAGAGAACCCAGCCTAAGACACCTCACTTCCAGAAGGAAAGTTGACTAAATAACCTCTAACAGCCCCTCCAATTCCAACATTCAGTACTTACTAGAGGTGCTTATTTGCAATTATGAGATCCCACCTGGTGGTGCAACCTTAGTAATGAAAGACAACCTCGAAATGTCTTCTTTCTAACTAAAAGGATGTAGTCTGAAAAAGCAATTTCCATAAACAAAGTTAGACTATCAACAAGGGAATTCAAATGGCCTTATCTCCCACTATAGATAAATTCCATCACATAAACTATCAAGTGAATGATACATTTAACTTTCAAAATTTGAGAACCAACTGTCCCATGGATGGAAACCATAATGACTCATATGACAAAATAGTAGTTTCCTGATGGATCTTCCTCTAGCAGAATATCATGAATTGAATTATATCCCTCAAAATATTTATTGGAATCCTACCCCTATGCCTGTGGCTGTAATTCCATTTGGAAATAGGATTGTGTTTGTTATATTACCAAAGCCCTATCAGTGTAAGGTGTACCTTAAACTTAATTACTCTTGAACTATTACAAGAACAGATTTGGCACAGACACAAGTGAGCACAAACAGGGGAAAGATGTACGCCAC